ACTCTTAATATTTATATTACAGATTTTGGTCATTTAGCTAATATAATTAATTTAAATTAACAAAGCATATAATTGCCTGCCCATTTATTTCAAATCAAACCGTGAAGTAGTTGCGAGGCAATGGACGTAGAGTCTAGTGAGCACTCATTGCTCCATGGTCTATTTGACAGATCTAAAATTTCGCTAATATGGAATATAACAATAGTTTTTATAAACCTAAAAGAAGTAAATATAAATGTATGTGAGATGCATAATATAGTAATTAAAATATCTACTCTGTTAAACTATACATGCAGGGCCGTTGATAATAAATTTTAAAAATAACTGAAAAATTAGTTAAATAATCTTTAAACTTCGATTATAATTAGTTAGAATATTAAATCCCATTATTTTAAGAAAGGTTCATTTGGGCAATTATATTAGGGCTGCATGACAATCAATATTTCTCAATTTGGATAGCTATAAATCGTAAATACATTTACAGTATTCAAAAAGATATGGACGATACTATTTGATGTGTATTCTCAGTGTACTGATAAGTACTTGCATATGGATAGATAAAATGCATTTTAAGTATACGCCAATGCGATATAAACATGATTTTCCTTGTGATCCTATGAAAGTTCAAATTTGACACCCCAAATTTGATGCCAGGGCAAAGGCTATTCGAGTATAAATAAATAGCATATTTTGAGAAGGTTTGTGCAAAATATATTACTATGTCTAGAATTTAAAAAAATTTTATTTGGCTTTTTTCAGATTTTATATATTTCACACATGTAGGTGAAACATGCGCAAACTGGATACTTCTATTATATAGCCTGAATTATTCCCAATATAAGCAAGTGATTATATAAGTATTAAGCCTCCGCCCTAGGGTGTGGACAAAAAGAGTATTGTTTAATGTTCAGCAGATCGGTTGAACCCCATTAATATAAATTTCCTAGAAGTAGTTTTTTATTTGGGTATTATAAAATGACTACCTTTTTTATTCTAACTTAGAATAAGTTTGTGCTAGACTGAACTACGTTGCACTGTGTAAAATTATGTTTTTCTTTCCAAAATTAGTTTTTACACTAATTTTACAGCTGATAAAGCTGACCAGGTTGAAGTTTAGATTAAGAGAAAATTAGAAACCTCCGCATAATAGCACAACAGCAGAGCAAACATTTCCTAAATGTCAAAAATAATTTTAAAAAATAATGATTGTAACTCACGGGGTCATGACACTGAATTTGCGTCTAAATGATGTATTACCTGAACTTCAATCACGGCAAAATAGTCGTTTATCTTTAACATAATGTTTAAGATCTTACAAATACATCCTATGCACATCAGAACCAAAATCAATAGATATTTTACTTGAATTTGTGATCCAAAGTAATTAATTTTTGTCATCTAAACTCACTCATTATTCAGATAGCCACCATTCATTCTTTCCAACTGAAACTATCAAAAAAGAGAAGATCCCCAAAATATCAGTGCAAAAGTTTTGAGTAAATTACCTCTTAAGAGCATTTAAAAATAACTAAGTTGGTATTTGACTTTATCTTTTTCACGAAAAATTAATCTACATACTAATATGATTTATTTGCATTATGATATCCCACTTACTAATTAAACACTTAGCATGGAAGTCTAAGAAGCTCATCAGTTAAGTGAGTGTGGTTTATAATTTAAATTTCCCTTTTTAAGTTTTTCATCTATTTATTGTTAGGAGAAAATATATAAGATGAATCCTTTAAAATTATTGCCAACTTAGGAAATAATTATGAAAATATTTAAGGGGTTAATACCTATTTACTAGTAAATATAACGATTAATTTTTAATGTATAAAAGTTGTTAATGAAAATTTTAGGCATAATAATTGTTTCTTCTAATAATATCTCATATTTCCATTTCAATCATCATATTTTCCGCCTGTAGGTTGTTTTTCTGGCTAGATTCTGGTAAAGATATTCAGGCAGCTTTGGAAATGCCGTACAATTGTGACCGGTGGAAAAGAGAATAAATAAGTCGGGCTGGAGACGAGTGAAAGCATGCACAAGCCTGCATCAGTGCGTGGCCTCATGCGACACTCTTTCGATTTTACAAGCCTGGTTTGCCATCTGATACGTCCGACACGAATCTTTCAACGTTCTGGAAACCCACGAATTGGCTTTATTATCCTTCTTTTTTCAACCAGAATAGCGGCCCTATCGACCATGATGGAAATTCCTAGCGTAGCTGGATTGATGATCGCGAACAATCCTGAGCCATTAAATCAAAGAACTAGTCTAGGGAAACAAACAGATGTCAGAATGTCTGGCAAGGACTGTCTTAATTGCATAGAGAGGCCATTGCCAATATACACTATTGGTGAAATGTATAGCAGACACAGAAGAAGGAGAAGAGTTTTTGAAGAAGCCTTTCCAAATAATCGAAGAGGTTTTACTAATGAAAGTTTGTTTCATGGTTGGCAGCAAAGTCTTTCTAGTTTAAAATCACCCGAGAGCCCGCTTCCACATTGGGGAGCAGAAGAAATAATGGAGCCAAAGGTTGAAATTCAGCAGGAAATAAATTATCAGCCATCTTTATTGACATGGAAGCCAGGTTATATCAACATTAGCTTAGATAACGGGGCTGATAGTCAGAACGCTACCAAAATACTTACCAGATTAGCTCTCTTTGGGCCAAGTCTTTCCTTTATCTTCTGGAGTTTGGATGGTGCAGCATCAGTTGTAACCATCAGTGGTAACATCCTTGTACTGACAGCCTTCTTTCTGGAGCGCACGATACGCACAGCAACCAATTACTTTATCGCCTCGCTGGCCGTGACTGACCTATTAATCGGCATCTTCTCAATGAACTTCTTTACTCTTTATTTGCTTCTTGGATATTGGCCCTTGGGAAGTCTATTCTGCAAGCTCTGGCTATCGCTTGATTACACCGCCTGCTTGACCTCTCAATATACTGTGCTTTTCATCACGGCAGATCGCTTTCTCTCGGTTAAGATACCTGCCAAATATCGGAATTGGCGAACTGACAGAAAGGTTATTGTGATGATAGCGATCACTTGGGCTGTGCCGGCTAGTATCTTTTATACAATCATAATGGGTTGGGAGACCTTTAACCCAGACTTT